TTTCTTGATGGCGCGCTTCTGTGGGCGTGATTTCGACCTCGAGATTTTCTCGGCGCGGTTTTGTCGGCATGGTTTTGTCGGGTGCGCAGCATTTGTCGGTGAACCCTAATTACTTTGTTAGCCTGTATTAAACGAAGTCAGGGCAGGATAGTTTGCAGCATGTTCAATTAGAATGTGGGATATCCAGGTCTAAACACCCAATTGCTTCTTATACTCTGTATATTCTTTAGCCAATTATCCTCCCCATCTCTAGTACTAAACTATTTCACAAATTTTAAATGAGAATAAAGGCGAGGAGGAAAGGCAACTATACAGTGAAATGAAATTTTGAGAAACAAAAATATAAATAATGAATGTTAAAAATCAGATTCTTTAAAATATGTTTTCACTACATGCATATATCCTTTTTTTGCTGTAAAAGACCAATTTATTTTCTTACAATTAAATAAAGAGATACTTACTGTGCTGATTAATAAGCATACGAAATGAGATGCGATTGGTATAGAATCTATCTAAAAAATATTGAATATTACTGCTCACAAAAGGATCAAATCCATACTTTTCTTTGTATTCAATAACTCCTTGGGCCATTGTAGGAACAACATCATTGTGTCGATTCCTGACTTTAATTAAGATATCTAAAAAGCTGCAGAGAAAAGAAATAGAAACAAAAGTATTACATTTACTGTTATTTTCACATTTTAGATAGCGGTAATAGCTTCAAAACATTAATTTACAATTCAGAATCATAAAGTTTGTTGAAAGAAAAGTTTGAACAATGTTGTCCAGTATGTTAATGAAAACTTCTATTGTGCAATAGTTGTAGAATTAATTTTTTTTAGCAACATGCTAACATATGGCGTCACTGAAGTACTTACATCACATTTAACCGCTGTTATAAGTGTTGGAGCACCACTAGTAGACTAACAGTTTCATATAGTATGCAAGAAATGAATTACACACTTTAAATTCCAGCATAAATGAAATGACAACAGCACAATATAAAAGAATGCACATTGACGTATATGATGTCGCCATAGCAACATCAACTTTGTCCCAACATCTTTCAATCTATTTCTATTAATAAATTTTCATAAATCTGTATTATTATACTTTATTTTCACTTTTGATGGATTGTATTTGTCAATTCTGCTATCCATAACCATATTATAATCACCTGCCATTATCACATAACCTTTTTTGACTTCTATTTCTTTATATACCCTATTATAAAACTCTCTTTAATTTATATTAGGTGCACACAAGATTGCTAAGGTAACATCTTGTCCATAAATCAGTCATTGAATTATAAATCTTCCCAAAACATCCCTTTTTATAGTCTTTATCATAAATTCACATCTTTTAGCTACAATGCTAGTGAATGTTGTGTTTTATTGTTTAATTTATTCTCGNAATGGAGTGAGCTCCTGTTACTTGTCCCAGCTTCTGCCAACCTAGCAGTTCAAAAGCATGTAAAAATGCAAGTAGAAAAATAGGGACCACCTTTGCTGGCAAGGTAACAGCACTCTGTGCGCCTTTGACATTTAGTCACGTCCACGGAGACATCTTCAGACAGCGCTCGCTCTTTAGCTTTGAAACAGAGATGAGCACCACCCCCTAGAGTCTGGAACGATTGCACATATTGCACATATGTGCAAGGGAAAACTTTACCTTTACCTATGGTGCCTCATCCACATGAAATTTAATGAGCCTTTAGCTTTAACCTGGTTATGACTTTAAAGTATAATCTTATGTACTCAGCTAAGCATAATAGGGCTTGTTCCCAGTCAAGTGGATATTGGATTGTAACGCTATCTTCAAATTATCAAAAATCCCTTAAAATGTATTCACTGTTCCTATAAGGAAACTTAAGCATGCAATACAGAATAAAGTCAGACATTTAAATTTCATATTAGAGACTATACCCACTTTCATTCCTCTTACCCACCTCTTTAATAGCAGACACCACCACAGTAATATTGAAAAAAGCCATGTGAACTCAGACCTAAGTTTTACCTTAAAGAGCTTGTCGGTATTCCATTTTATGGAAAAGAAAGATTGCAAATGCATTAGTCATAGTCACAAGGTACTGATTAACTTATGTTCTTGCAGCCCAAGAAATAATGTTAAAAGCATTGCTATGCATATAATAACTAAGATTTGCAATTTGAAAAATCCTTAAGTCTAGTACAACTGGTACAATCAAGATCACACTTTTTAAGGCAGTCCCATTATAATCAGTCCAATAGTACATCGTTCAGCGTCTGTTCACAGATAAATGCACAATGACAGGATATAACCCAGTTAGTTATTTCTTAGATATACATTTTCCCTTGCACTTTTAAGTTATGGCTAATATGAACCTAAAATATTAATATATTTTTTGTGCTTGTCCATAATTGAGGGATTTTTTCCTTTCAACTGAAAACCTTTCAGTTAAAATTAAAATGTGATATTAAAATACATATCAGGTTCTTCCATGTAATTAGCTGTATAAAGATTGGGAAAATATGCAGATCACAAGTTCTAGAATTCTTCCTAATCACTTAGCAACAATGGCTCAACTTTTTCTGCATAATAAAGTCACATGTTGTCTTTACGCGTGCATATGCATTACCTCCTCAAATATGAATCAGTGTCAGTACCAGTGGTGGGTTCCGGAACGAGCTCGGCATCGTGCACATGGATGTGCGCAGCGCATGCATGCGTCTTACCGCTTCCACGAGCCTCCATAATGCTCCAGCTGCTCAGCGGAGCATTGCGCAGGAGCTGTATGCGCCCCGCACATAAGTGCCGAAAACTTAAAAGAGCGATAAGGAGCTCAGGCGGGCAGGTGGACCCTCCAGAGCACCGTACCGGAACAGTACCCGGTGCTCCGGGCAGGCTCCAGTACACCCCTACTGGGGCGTACTGCCTGCAACCCACCACTGGTCAGTACATACTGTATTTTTCAGACTATAAGACACTCCAGACTATAAGACATACCTAGCTATTGGGAGAAAAACAAGAAAAAACATCTGCCTCTGCCTCCCATCAATTTGCCTCCTTGAAGCAAATAGCAAACAACCTGGTCAGCTTCAGCACAGCCAGATTTAGCATGAGCAGCTGATTGGCGGTCAGATCTGCCTCCTGGAATACTACCTATTAGCTGTTCCAGGCTGCGGGAATTGCCACTGCCATTGCTGCCTATTGCCAGCTCTGCACATCCCATTTTTAGCCTTTCAGGCCAAAAATGAGGCATGCTGAGGCAGGATAGGCAGCAGCAGCAATGGTGGGGATAGGCGGTGGCAATCCTGGCAGCCTGGAACAGCTGATAGGCGGTATTCCAGGAAGACAATCCAACCGCCATTCAGCTGCTTGTGCTAAATCAGGCTGTACAGAAGCTGACCAAACTGTTTGCTGTAAGGAGGCAAATTGCTGGGGGGCAGAGGCCAAAGGGTGGGGTTGGCAGGTGGGCGGGGCTTCAGCAACATTAGCTGTATAAGACAGACATTTCCACCCACTTTTGGGGGGGGAATGCATCTTATACACCGAAAAATACGGTATATATTATTTGTGTAATCATGTTTCTGCTTTCCCTTCCTGTATCTCTTCTCTTTGGGGGTATGTGTGCGCAATGGAAGCACAGGGCTGCTTGAGTATGCTCTAATCTGCATCAAATGACCAGGAGGGAGAAGGGAGGAAGGAAGAATAGAAGAGTCAGCAACATACCAAAGTACAGACCAAATGCACTTCCTGGAATTTTTTTTCTTCATAGTCCTTACATGGATCTTGGCCATTTTTGAATTTAAGCTTTCTTTTACCAATTTCTCTTACCATATCAAATTTGACCCCATTCTTTTTTACTTTTCGAAAGTTATCCTATTGATTGAGTTCTGAGCCATTGCACATTTTTTCCAACATTGAGTTGTGTTGGAAAGAATAAAAATGATTTAATATATTATGATCTGTCTGAAATTAATAGTTCTGCTGAAAAGAATAAGGACCTATTCTTCTAATTAAGCATGTCAGTCCTCTCATCACAAGGAGTCAAACTTTATAATTACAATACTCTAAACTATTCTCTTCCATAAAATTTCAAGCTTTTCATATTGCAGGAAATTTTTGCCACAATACAGTGTTAAGAATCTCTTACAGATAAATTGATACATACGATGCATACAAACCTATTAATAATCTTTTTTTGTCTTTCTTTTTTGTATTCAGTTGTATATGTACTGTTTGTATTATTTATATTTTTTTTAAAATTAAAACAAACAAACAAACCTATCAATAATTACCACTTTCTCAAGCCCAATTTAAACTGCTAACTTAA